CTGCAAATATAGATAAGACAGTAAAATGGAAAATACGCTAAATGAAATTATGAAGTGGTTGGATCATCAAAAAGTTACAGAAACTTATTGGTAGATGATCCTACACTACACAGAATGCACAAACTAATACAAAAAAAAAGAGACATAGAAATAATACAATGGTTATTACACTACCGGTATACACTGTATATGAACGTGAACTTCAACATTTTAGGTGATACTTTGAAGAGCAATGGACAAAATTAATCCATGAAAAAGACTTTAAAGAAAATAGAATTCTCGCAATTTGCATTTTATTCCATGTTAGAAAGAAACCTTGCCAACATGACAATATTTGGATTTCCATAGGGAATGCCTCTTACATAGTATGAAGTTCAGACAGTATTTAAAAGAGTCATAAATACAAATCTGTTTCTATCCTTTATTCTGGCTATCTATCATACTTATGCGTCATTATAGTGCTGTGATTCTAACAAGGCCTGTTCTCATTAGCCAGAGTTTTCAAATTAAAAATAGTCATAAATATAAATCTGTTTATATCCATTATGCTGGCAATATATATCATACTTGGCCATCATTATAGTGCTGTGATTCTAACAAGGGCAGTTTCCATTAGACTGAGTTTTCAAAGTAGACTGTAATTCACCCGAAGGAAAATACAAACCTTGCTATCTTAAAAAACACACATTATCTTTCACTAATGTTTAGAGAACAAAAGTTTACACTGCAAAAATCAGTGAAATTTCTGCTGCATTTAAAAAACACCAACTATAAAGGTGGGTTTTTTTTAATTGTTTTTTGTTGTTGTTTTGTTTAATGGTAGTTGCCTAGGAACTTCCAACAAAACACAGCACTGAGAGAATAATGGATGATTTCTGCTTGCAGTGTAATTGCAGCAACTGATGGGTCTAATATCTCAAGCTGAAGGTTATTTTTGGCTAGTGGGGATGCACCTCTAGAGTTGAGAGCTCATCCTCTTGGGATCATCTCCTGGAATGCTTCCACCTGTCTCTGTTTTTATCAGTCTGTCTTGATCCATCTCCTAGACTTGAAGGAAACTAAAGGCCCGTTCAGACTATAGGATATTTATAGGAAACTTGTTTTTAAAAGAAACGTTGAATGAAGAATTATCGTATAGCAAAAGGAGTGTATAGTATAGAAAGCAACATCATGTAAAGAGACTGATGTTGACGAGGTCAGTTAACACGACGGTCGACCAATCATTAATGTGTGCTCATGATATAAAGCTCTGCTTAGTTTTACAATTTCTGTACGATTATAAGACGTTCTGACTAGAAAGGGACCCTGATTCTTTATTGATTTTCATTCAAAATGATGCTCAAACAGGCATTTCCCTTTACTAAGGTTGGTTATACAACCTTTGTTTTAAGGACTTTCAGAATAGAAAAAAATTATTTACTTTCCGAAATAGCTATACAAGACTCAAATACCTTTACAATGAATGCTGATAGTCTGAACACAGCCTAATATGTCTTGGGAACCCAAGCTTACTCGTGCAGTACTACTCTCCTGTTTCTATCCTTCATTCTAGGAATATATTAAAACTGTACAATTTTGTGTCAAGGTGAAAGTGTCCTAGCAGTGTATGATTGTGCCCGATCCTGACAGTGATGAATTGAATAAATTGCTCACTTATTGCTGGTGAACACTTCACTCGTCTCTTCAGCCCAGTGGCCTCCGCCCAGTACACAAACTCTCTAAAATCCCAAATACTTGATTTTGTTCTATTAATTGATTTGATTTGATATTTATATGTACATGTATTTCTTTTCCTTGGCTAATCATATACAGTGCAAGTTATTACTCTAAAATTCTTAGTATATAAAAAGAAGATATTTTGATAATAAAATATTATCATGTAGCATGATACTTTTGAACTTTACCATCTTAATTTTGGTTTGTAAATTTGTTTCATAGACAACATTAAGGGAATGCAAAAATTACTTACAAATCACTTATATTTGAGAGTGAAAAAAGTTTGTCATCTTGTTCATTTTAGTCTAAAAATTGAGTGAACAGTGATGCTATCAAAGATGTCCTGATGCTCAAGCACGAATGTTGTATTATTTTGGTATCGGTCCATCTTAGCACCACTGAAGGTGGATGACCTCTGATGAAGGTGATACTTGTTTCCATGGTAACACCTTGGAGGATACAGGAAGCGGGATTAGAGAAGGAAAACAATGCCTGAGGATAAATCCTTATGATACCCTAACCCAGGCTCTTGAGAGCTAATGACCTGGAAGAACAGAGGGTCATTCCCTGTTTCCATGCCAACAACATGTATGCAGAGAGAGAGAGAGAGAGAGAGAAGAAGGAGAAGGAGGAGGAGCAGGAGAAGAAGGAGAAGGAGAAGGAGAAGGAGGAGAAGGGGAAGGAGAAGGAGAAGAGGAAGAAGAAGAAGAAGAAGGAGGAGGAGGAGGAGGAGGAGAAGGAGAGGGGGAGGGGGAGGGGGGAGGGGGGAGAGAGAGAGAGAGAGAGAGAGAGAGGGGGGGGGGGGGGAGGAGTGAGAGGGGAAGGTTGTGATAGGGACATGGACACAGGGAGAAGGGGAAGGGGCAGGGAGGGCGGAGGTTTCGGATGGGTGGGGACTCCTAATATTGAAGGCATCAATAAAGATGCTCAATTTTGTCCGGAACACTTTAACAGGATGTAGCAAAAAGAAAGTTTAAAAAAAACCTAACAAAAAAAGGAAAAAAAGAAAGTACATTGAAGATGCGATGAGATTAGATGGCTACATATATCATCCACTTATGATAACGAAGGAATGTTTAGAAGATACTGCAAGCACTTCAGATTGTTGAGAATGTTTTCCAATGTTTGAAACACCCGAGGGATGAAACTAAGCTGTAGCTGGATAGGGTGTGTTATTCTGAAAGTCGACTTCTCTGACCCGTATGCTTGACTCTGTTCTCACTGATATCATATCTATTCCCACACGTCAAAGAAGGATATTCTCTATGAATCATAGCACTATACAGTATGAAGTAACCTACGTTTAATCAAGCATATCACTAAAACGACCCTCTGCTGTATCATCAGATAAATTTGTCCTAAAGTACACTTCTGTTGTTGAAATATTTTGAACAATTAAAAAGAGAACGACTGAAATGGATTATTGATAACGACAATCACAACAACAACAGAAGTCACAGTATAGCATTTCTATGGCCCTTTGCATTGTAATTATTATAACCCTGGTCGTTTAATTGAATTGCTAATCTGCATGTGATAGTGCACACGCTTCGCTCCCTGGGCAGTAACTGGACTAGATGTGTATGTATGTGCCCTGTAAATAATTTTAAGTGATTATCACTATGAGGGCAAACTGTGGACTTTCTTTTGTGAAGAATGCAAATAAGTATAAATACCATGCATAATGCGTGACATTTAGCATGTACTGAATATGCAGTACGTAGAAAATATACAATCCTAGTTAGGATATTACCCCGGCCCCCCCACTCAGTGTTATTTAGGGTACGCATATGCTCGTACCCAATTTTTGAAAGCACCCCCTATCTGAGGACTGCCAACATTTCCGAACCCCCCTTTCGCGGGCTTTTCGCGGGCTTTTCCTGCCTTGGAGACCCCCCCTAAATCAGGAAAAATGCTCATTTTACCCCCCTAAATTCGGAATAATTTCTCAGGAGTCCAAAGAGATGAGAGAAAAAAAGAAAAACACCCCCTTTTTAAAGAAATCTCTGGGTGAAAAGTCAAATACACCCCTTTTTTTACAATTCTCGGGCCGGACTTTGTCGCACGAAAAGTACCCCTTTACCGGACATTTTGGCAACACGCATGCGGTCATTCCGACCTCTGAGTGGGGGGGCCGGGGATATTACACTCGTGTCTCACTCTGGCATAATGAAAACCTAGAATGCTTGCAAACGACTTCATAGCTCATACATGTTTAATGTTTTCCCTGTCTAGATGAAAAAGTAATATATTTCCTGGAGTGATTCTTGCGGTAATATAGTGACGTTTGGTTTCGTATTTGACACAATCCATTGTTTCTTGAGCAGTGTTAAATAGGCTTCTGTACTCTACGATGATAGAACCATTAGTAGATAGGCTTGACAGATTGAAACTAAGTACTATTAATTTATCATCCTTTCTCCGTATTTGGTTTTCAACCATATGGCCATTATGAAACTAAGGATCAGTAAATAGATATTGTACTTATTTGCCTGTTGAACTTGATCTGTAGAATTTAAAGCCTCAAATCTATCATCGGCATCATGAATAATAATAGCAACATTTATAATGCTACGTATTCATCCCAGAGGATGCTCAAGGCACCTACATGTACAAAGCCTAGCCTAGCTTCCCTAAGGTGCTAAAGAAAAAAAAATCAAGGAATAATTTGGTACCCATTTACTTCACCTGGGTGGAGAGTGACAAATGTAGATTAATATTTTTTTTGCCAAAGGACACTAGTGCTGCGGCGGGACTTAAACAGCCAACCATGTGATCCACAGTCCAGTGATATATCCGCTAGACCATGACAACTCTAAATGCAAACAAACAAAAGTAATCATTGATTCTTAAATGTAAAGTCTCTCTTTGTCAATATGAAAGCTTCGCTTACCGGTAATGCTTTATGCTTTGTTATATTTCATCAATGTAAATTCTTTTGAATCTATTTGAGTTTTCTTAAAGAACTTTCTGTTTATGACCCAGTAGTTATTCACTACATGCGCTACTTGATGAAACTTAACTAAAATAATGCATTAAAATTGCACCGTCAAAATAACATTATGTGGAGTAAACAAAAGTTTTGTTGAAGATTTGTTTCCTCCCCTTCCCTGACCCTCTCCCTGTATTGTTGCAGGAGAGGGAAAGGAGCCCAGTTGAAAGTAGGAAACACACCTTTATATTTATATTAAAATGTTTTAAAATTCATGAAGCTTGTTGTGTTTGTATCAGATACTCTAACTTTATTATTATTAACTTTGTTTTCATTTTCTTGTTCTTATCAGGGTCAAGTGTGAACATGGAAACAGCTGCAAGCACGCCCTCTCTGTTGCTGCTGGAGGAACTGATGGACAGTCCTGAAAGTGGGCCCCAGCTCAAACGTTACCCGTCCAGTCGGACCAGCTTACCTAATCTGTCACCAGTGTCACCTGGTGGTAATGGCAGGTCCAAGGGGCCACAGAGCCTCCTCCAAGATTTTCTTCGAGCTTCATCCCGGAGAGGCAGCAGGAGGAGAACAGCAGAGGTCTCTGAGACGCCAGATCCTCCACCCGTGACGAGGAGGATCTGGTGTGACAGTGAGGAGTGTCTGTTGGGTAGTCCGTTCATCAAGATCCAACAGTTTCCTCAGAACGGACAGTGTCAGAACTGTGGCCAGGTCATGAAGGATGTTGCCACCAATACAGAAGCGGACCAGGATGCAAAACCTGGAGATGTTGGTGTCAGTCCTCAAGGTCAGGTTACCGGGGATGCTGGCCAATTGGAGCCAAGCATTGAAGAAGCTGCGCCAAGGGTTGTTCGGAGACCAAGGAAGAACTCGAATCTGAACAAAGTTTCATTTGATGAGAAGTCATCAAGGAGGAGAAGTCTTCCGATGGCTTTTGACTGGTGGTCGGATAAAGTGCTGAAAAGACAAAGTTCAAATATCAAAGACAATGTTCTGAAATCGTGGTGTCAAGATGAAAACGATCCAGCACCTTACGGACCACGTTCAGTTAGTGATCAGGCAATACATCAAACTGTTGTAGGTGCTTCCAGAACTAGTGTTGATGCAATAAAACCAGAGTCTCCAAAATACAAAGCAAGCAGTCAATTGACTTTGAGTGAAAGTGGAGGATGGTTCAAAGCCAAGAAAGAACTCAAACATGTTTCTAAATCAACTCCAAACCTCTCGTACCCTTCAACTCAAGTAGATAAGTTAGAGTCTGCTAGACTAGCAGCTTGGTGGGAGGCCTCTCCGTATCCTGTCCGTTCTCAACGTTTCACATTCCGGTCCCATTCCAGTGGTGGTCAGAAAGTAGTCCTGAGGAAAGGTCAAGCTTCCTTTGAAGTTTCAGCCAGGGGTAAGAGAAGACAGTCAACCAACCTCGCTGATCTTGAAGACTTGATGGGTGCAGTCTCAGGATCAGAAGAAGAAACTGAAACAGACGGTGAAGGCCACACCTCCAGAGCAATCCTGTTGCCATATGAGGCATTGCAGGAGGAGATGGATGCACGCGCAGGGAACTTCAATCACTCCAATTCCAAAGATCAAATTCCAGCCATCAGAATAGATTCAACCAAAGAACACAGGACACCTCAGAGACCTCACAGTTTATTCCATGACCGTTTAACGCCAAAGACACCAGAAACATTGTCCAGATCAACACCGTACATCAACGGGTCTGGACCCGTCTCAAGTGAGTGGTCATTCTCATCACCTAGTCTAGAAAGTGTGATCCAATCCCAGTTTCTCAGGAACACTTCCCTCTCCTCGCTGCAACATGAGCAAAAGCACCACCACAAGAGCTTTTTACCAGGGGAAGGACTGGGGACACCAAAGAGACTACAGGGTGGTAGAAGGAGTGGCACCAAAGGAAAGGAACTGTTGCGCCACTCCTGGGCTGGTCGACCTAACCCGCTCAGTACCTCTTTGTTGAAGTTGGTCAAGAGTGAAAGGTCATCGTGGATTGGTGCGGCCAACGAGCTTCCGGTCATACCAGAAGATAGAGGCAAAGAGAGGGTCAAGGAGCAGCAGAGATCTTTCATCAGACTCCAGGGATCTACCACTTCTTCCCTTGGCTCATCAGTGCAATACCATGGGGTAAGTTCCACTTCATCATATTCTCTGTTCAGAGCCAGAAGGACGTTGAACTATGCGCTGAAATATATGGGGTTAATGCCCTTTTGGCTCCGAACCCCAGCCCCCCACTCAGTGTTATTTAGGGTACGCGTATACATGTTCCCTCCTTTTGAAAACAACCCCTAAGTCCGGTGTGTAAAGTCAATACGGGCCAAATTTTCGTGTACTACGAGCCGGACGTTGGTGAGTGATAAGTACCCCTTTACCGGACATTTTGGGAACACGCATGCGGTTCCTCCGACCCGGAGTGGGGGGGGGGGGGCGGGCTCCAAACAAGCATAATCCATCTCATCTACTTCTGTCTTTGAAACAGGTTTTTCATTTGAATCTTCTGCTGATTTCTTTCATATAACTAAATTTAGGTTTGTTCTTGGACTGCTGTCTGTGTTTCTGAAACCGAGCTTGTAAATTTGGTTTTATAAAGAGCCACAAGATAGAGGAGGCGTGATAGCTCAGTCGGTAGAGCAGTAGTCTAGTAATCCGGTGAGCCGGGTTCGAAACCAAGGCGATGCGCTAGTAGGCCTAAGGCATTAATCACTACCAGGTCCCTTGGAGAGGACCTAAAGCTGTCGGCCGTCTGGTTGCTTACTTACAGGCATTTATACTTTCTTAGCAGTCAGGTAAATAACCATCACATCACATATAAAATGTCTTGATAATCAAGCCCCAGGATACCTATGTGTCTACTTTACTCAATTGTACAATACTCGCTTGGCCACATGTTTTACATGCTTGGCCACTAGGTACTATAGGCTCGGCCACTAGGACCTACATTTTTAAAATTCCATAAATACTTGGACTTTTGACTAATTGCTAAACTCAAGGAAGACTAAATCGCATTTGATAAATGAGGCTTAATTTTTATTACACTAACACTTCTTGCCTAACTGACCTGTCAAAAGTTTGTGATAAAAATTAGCAGTTTATCGATGACTTGGCCTCAAGTTGTTTGTATAAAACTGCCTTATCTTTTTAAGACCAATTCATTGGGTTTCGTTTCTCCCCTTAAACTATTTGTCGCCAGAGTTTTGTTATTTTCTTATCTTTAATATGTGTCTTTGTTTGGTTTTGACTAACTCTGACTTGCTTCTGTGATTTCGAATTAGTTTTGCTTGAAAACCATATCAAAACACGTCAAAATAATTCTGGAAGTGAATTTCAAAATCAAAAATTAAAGGCAGTATGCAGTTGTTGAAAACACAGCAGCTTCAAACTTTTGATCCTCTTTTCCATAATATATGTCATATTTTTGTCTGGTTTGAACTTTGTACCAGTATGATTTAATAGTCTTTGTTCAATTTGTGACTGAGTTTTGGTATCCTTTTGGAGGAATCTAAAAGACCTATTGACAAAGAAAGATTCCAGTACTATTTCAATTCTCCAAGGAGGATGTGCTTCCTAGAGCATGAGAGAGGCTTGGAACTTCATTGAAAGTTTGTACAAGTCCAGACTCCAGAGTCTTGGAAGCACACTTGTGAGATATGGGAACAGATACTGTACAATGTACATGCATGCTTGTTTTTCTGTCATTCAGTTCTATTCTTGAATGCAATGAACTAGAATTACATATCTATGGTGCAACAACCCTTATGTTGAATACTCTTCAGTAGGCGTGTCTTCATCATCTCGAGATTGCCAAATATCTCGAGATTGACAAATAGCCCGCTATTTCGGAAATAATCCCGAAGTAACAAATCGCGTCTTCACTTTCTTGAGATTCGACCTCGAAACTTGAAACTCGACCTTGAGAAATTAGCTCGAGATATTTTGCTCAGCGTTAGCGTGTATTGCGAATCTTCGGTCTAGTGAAGACGCACGGGACAAATAGCTGGATATTTTGCCAAATAGTAGGATATTTTGCAAACTATCCCAAGATATCTTGGAATATTATCCCGACCAACTATCCAGCTAATTTGCTACTTCGGTCTAATGAAGATGCAATTAGCTGGATAGTTTGCGATCGGGATAGTTCAAATAGCTGGATATTTGGCAATCTCGAGATAGTGAAGACGGGCCTAATGAGCACTGAACAATACATGCCTATTAGTTTCTATCATGGACCTCTAAATGGAATTCGGTTGTTATTTTATAAGGAGATGAGAAAGATAACGTGACTACTTCTGAAGTGGTTTTGACTGAAGGGTTCTGTTTGTATAGTCTTGACGAAGAGACTCTCTCACACTGAGGGGTCTCACTCCTGACTGTTTCCCCACTTAATGCTTTCAAGTGTATGGAATGATCTCTATGAAATATGCTGTTCGACTATTTGCATTTACAAGAAGTTTGGCTATACCTGCCAGATTAGTGCGAATCTGCATACTAGGTATGGTGAGCTAAAAATCAGGGTTCTATTTTCTCTCCGCGTTTTGCAGCCATTTTGTTGATATTTTTGTCACTCTTAAGGATAAAGGAAACGGCTAGAAAACAGCTAGAACTTGGATGTAAAACTTTTTAAAACTTTTATTACTACAGCATTCCATACTTTTTAAGGAGTACTATAGACTCCCCTTTTTTGTTGCTAAGAATTTCCTGTTTTAAAGGCAGGCTTTACTACTTCAGCTAGAAGGGATTAGACCACCCAGCGAGCCAGCGAGGTCACTGTGACAGGTGGCTATCTCATTAACTCAGCTCTCATTTAACATAAGAAAAAGAGGATCATGGGGCATCAACAAGCACCGATTGGGGAAGTTTTCTATATAGAGGGAGCAAGTAGCTACAAGTAGGACAGAGTGCCTTTAAACAGCTACAAAATGGCAATTTTTGGTTTGTTTCCATCTGTTGTTGTCAAAGCAGTGACAAGTTTCATGCATTTTGGCAATTTAATGTAATAAGTGGCATATTCTTGTATCTTCATACATCTTGCAGTTTTGGAGTTTTTTCACTTGTGATTCTCATCCTGTTTGCTTTTGCTTCTTGTGGGGCAGTGTCAGAAGATCCTCTGATAAAGTGCAGAGATGCACTCAGATCTTTGATTCTTCCCTTGTGTATTAATTAGATGAAGTGACCTGGTAGGAAGCTACCAAAGAATTTGATACGAGGTCAGTGCTGCTTTCGATGACCTGTGAAAACTTTTTCAGTGGGGTTGGGATACCAAAGAGAGTGTATAGTATTAATAATATAATGACTTTTATTTTTGTGAAGGTCGAGGAAGGGAGGGAGGGAGGATGAGAGAGAGGGAAGGAGGGAGAGAGAGAGAGAGAGAGAGAGAGAAGGGGGGGGGGGAGATGTAGATCCCATTGGTTGAAAGTTAAACTGTAGTGTAATTCACCAAGAGAGGGCACTATACAGATTGTTCTGTGTGATGTGATGTTTGATGATATGTGTGACAGCTCATATGCAGTCGCAGAATCCCTTTATAGTTTGACTGATATCTCCAGGCTCACAGAGAAAATAGTCTAGGAAAGTAGGAATGTTGAACTTGATTTATAAATCAATGGATTAGACAAAGAGCTAGATCGTGTAAAAAGAATTAGATGGGAATAAATGTATGACTATGACTGGTTGGAAAATGGAAGTAAGATTAAAAATAGCAAAGAAAGAAGAAAAAAAAACGCCCTGTGAAAAAAACTTCATGCCCTAGCTGTCCAGGTCACCATGGATCAAAAGATGTCCATCTTACAACTATGAATATTTTATTAATATTCTTATATTCCAACTTCATTAAGTGATGATAATGACGATGATGACAGCATATTTCTCTCAGTAGAACCAGGGCATGTGAGTTAAATGGATTCCGCATCTAAGAGGGCCCTTTGAAGCAGTCCGTTGCACCGAGAGTCTTTTTTCCCCCTATCATAATCCCCTTAATCCCCCACCCGGACCGCACAGCTCGTAAATCTCACTCCCGAAACTGAGTGACATAGGGCTCGCGAAATGTATTGTTGGAAATACACATCGGCTGCTATCGACAAAAATGGCGGCGTACAGTAGGAAAGAGTATTTGGTAGGCGACGATTTAGACTTTCTGACTGATTTTGAGGAAGATTTGATTCTTGCGCCTGGTGTATGGGAAGTTGGAGACCAATACAAGTTATGCACGTGTGAAATTCCATCAACGGAAAATCTTATTCGTTGCAGCGAACCAGAATGTACGGTTAAATGGTTTCATCGTGAATGCGTAGGCCGCTCCATGTATTAATAGGCAGCATTTGAATACATGAATAGTCAATATACTCACAACATACAGTACAAATGCACATAATCATCCCGATGCGGTTGATCGGCAAGTTTGACAGTAGACTCGCAATTTTAATTTTTAAATTATTCTTTCTAACATCAGAAAGTTGAACAAATTGTATTTTAATGCTCTTTAGGTGTCATCAATCGTCACTATAGTACTGCCTTTGAATGAAATCAGTTGAGTTTTGTACAGTGGTGTTTGAAATGTTGAGAATCAAAAGCACAACTTTGAATACTGCCAGGGTAGTAATGCAGCTATGTGTGTTTCCACCAACAACATCCAGCATGTACAGCCCAGCGAGCACGGCGGCTTTCGCGTCGCCGGCCCGTACTCGGGGTGAAAAGTGGTGAGGAATTGACAACTTCTAACCCTCATTAAACCAAATGCGCGAATATATAACACAGTTTCATTTAGTTATTTTAAGAGATAAACTTATGGACTACCTTCCTAGCTACATGTATGTAAAAATTTCGGAAACTTTCGGAAAATGTCAATAATTAGAAGAGAACGTGATGATGATGATGAGAAACTTGCATTCACTCTAACTCAAGATTTCCTTGGTCGATTTCGCTGGTTCAGATGGCTACGTATTCAGAAGAGTTATCCGAGCACAGCTAAAGCATTTGATAACCAATAGAAGGTTGCCTTGTGCCATAAGTTGTCGATTTTGTATTTTTGTCTGTTATGTACATCTTCATAGTATAACGTCATTTTCTCGGTGACTCGCATGGCTTCAAAGCCTTTTTTTTACGACCAAGTATTTGGAGAGCTTAGGGAAGCAGGCCGCGTTGCGTAACACTTCGTAACATTTGGATCGCCAGAGGGCATCTGTGGTCTGATAAGGGTGGCTGTTGATGGATTTGATGGCTGAAGAGGGTTAAATTACTTGTTGTTAAGCCAAGTTAATCTTGAATATCTTTCCCTCAGGAAATTCTTTCGAGAAGGAATCTCCATTTAAAGTCTCGCCTCCCTGGTAGAACTTAGTAACAATCACATACATTGTTTCTCACAATCAGAAGGATTCAATATTGACTTTCATCCTAAAGGTTTATAGCTCCCTCTACTGTCAGCTGTAGACCATTACACTATGTTTACCTTCATTTACAGTGTTGCCGCACCATTTCCATCAGGGGGGCGGATGAGTTT